TTTCCCACAACTGTGAATTTATCTGTTGTACCAGTCATTCCACGAATATCAAACATTCCGTGATGTGAGGTGTTCGTACGCCATGGAAAATGCAGACCTCACAATGTATCTGCCCCGTAAAAACCTGACTGAAATACATCGTGATCATGAAGTCCTCAGTCTAAGAGTCTGATGATCACTTAAACCTGTCAATCAGAGGAAAATCAACTACACTGTCTGGCTCAATGGAAGTTAATTTGCTTAAATTTGTCTTGACGTCGAAAGAAAATGGGGCAAACCACTAGTTAGGAACAGAAAAATTAACATACAAACCCAAATTGCCAAGTGGCCATAGCATATAAAAAGACTCAAGCGGATAAAGGAGCACGAGTGGTAACAGTGGTCGTGGGGCAGTAATATGGGGGTGGTGGTTTTTTCCCCCTCAGCCCTGTACCTGGAGCATATGAAACTAATTTGTATAACAAATGTTGGTTTTAGACGCCATTCCTCATCCACTGATGGCTCCTCAAGGCCTGGAGAGCCCCATTCGTTAGAGCTTAAGGCAAAGCAAACAAATGAATGAACACTATCTTTACTAGGGATGACCAAGCCAAGCAAACGCTGAAACACAACACCATTACCTAAATTCGCATGCATCTGTCCATGTCTTCTCTCAGCTCCAGCTCTACGTGCCTCTCGCCCTTGACTGAAGTTTGAGGACCACCTGCATGAAAGAAGAGACCCAGCCTGTTATGTCTCAGTGATGCAAAAAAATAACAGAATCCAGCTCTGCAAACAGCTCGCTGCACGGATCATTTTTCTGTGCCGCTCTAGACACATGCATCTGTCCATGTCTTCTCTCAGCTCCAGCTCTACGTGCCTCTCGCCCTTGACTGAAGTTTGAGGACCACCTGCATGAAAGAAGAGACCCAGCCTGTTATGTCTCAGTGATGCAAAAAAATAACACAGAATCCAGCTCTGCAAACAGCTCACTGCACGGATCATTTTTCTGTGCCGCGCTAGACACAAGAGTAAAATAAGAACAGATGATATCATGCGCGGGAACAGAGGTGCTTTCGCGTTGCCTGATTTAAACGCTTTACGAAGTGTCCGATGCAGCGTCACCAGCACGGAGTTGGAGTCAAGAACCCTCCAAAAGACAGAACCAGACCAACAGCAGAGCCTAGATCAACACTAGAACCAAGCTCCAGATACAAACCCTAACCAGACCTCCAAACACCCTCCAGACCCAAACCAATCCTGGACCTGCCAAGACCCAGACCAAACCCCATACTTACATATGCTGAAATCCATTTATAGTACTACATCTTTTTTTAATCAAACCTGTTGGATTGCTGTCATGGATCGTTCCAAACCAATTCAAACCCCTGAATACAGGTAAAGTCGTGGCCAAGTGGCTTAAAAGTATTGAATTAGTTCCGACATACCTGAAGAGACAAGCAACTGATTTATATCTAACATGCTGTACAAATAAAAGTTGAACACAAGCTGGTGTTTTTATTAACAAGAGTGTCATGGTGCAAACTTTAAGAGTGAGAGAAATAATCTGTAGAATTGAAAATATCTGAAATCCCAAATAAACAGGTAAGATACTGACCCCGATTCATGGCCCAAATTTGATTAACTTGCAAGATTTTATTCTCCGTGAAGACTGAGAGAGGCGCTGGAGCATGAGGCATGATCTTGAGGTCGTTATCTTTACTATATGTCCCCGGAGCATATGGGAACATTTTCAACACTCTCATAAATGTAACCATGTCAACTATAAAAAAAAAAAAATAGCTGACCAGTAACAAATTATAGATTTAAAAAAAAAAAAAAAGGAGAAAAAAAATCTCTAAATTTCACTAGTGCCGAGAATGCAACCCGCTGAGTTCTCGCAAGCAGTTCCTGTGCAAATGACTGGATAAGGTGTGCATGTGAACGCTCAAAGCATGAGGCGGCACTGCTCTCACACCACAGACCACCTTCAGTTATCACTCCCTCTGGACTGAAGATGAACTGAGGCTCTGTCTCACAAGGTTCATTCACTACCATGGTGATTAGATTTTTACTGTATGAGAGACTGGCACCAATTCTGAGGACCGGTTTTTGATGAGCTAATGCTTGAACTTCAAAAGGCATTCTCCATTACACTTTCAGTCAGGATACTAAGAATTGGGAAAAAAAAGAACGTTTTGATTCAGACGGCAATAGTGTGTAAATCAGTGAGAAACATATAAGGAATCTGAGCTCCATAATGCACATGCATCACATGATGGGGCTTATACTACGGGGCTGTTGAATGCTTGGTTCTGATTGGTTGATGAACGATCTAAGGCGTGCGATTTCAGAACAAATAGAAATACAAATGCAAATAGACAAAAATGTAAACAAGGGCATGTTTACTCTAATAATGAGGGGGGGGAAATGCCATTGCTTTATTGTAAAAGCGGCACATGTGACAGCCATGATGCAAAGCATTTTTTTTTTTTTTAAGCGCCACGCTTATGTGTTTCTGTATCTATATTACTTCAACTGACCACTGATGCTGCAAGAAAGTAAATGTTGACCCATTTTTGCTTGGCTAGTATTTTATAAGTGTATTACATTGTGTGTGTGTGTGTGTGTGTGTGTGTGTGTGTGAGTACCTGGTATTCCCTACATTATGGGGACCAAATGTCCTCACATGTATAGTAATACCAGCAATTTCAGACCCTGTGGGGACTTTTACATTATTTTTTGATCAGCAGAAAATCTAAAAATGCCTGTAGTTTTGTGAGAGGGGTAAATTTCGGGGTAGGGCATAGAAAATACAGTTTGCACGGTATAAAAACGATTATGTCTATGGAATGTCCCCATAAAACATGGAGACCAGTGTGTGTGTGTGTGTGCGCGTAGGAATGCTGCAGATAAACACAGTGGTTTAAACCTGTGGTTCACTAATTTGATAGCAAACATACTGTCCATTAATCTTACATTCTATTTGATTAATCAAAGACATAACCCGTATCCATCACTAGAACTTTATTTTCTACCTATTGTGAAGCAAAGACCAAACCAGATATACAACACTGACCTTTATCTATTCAGATATTAAACACAGAGCACATATTTGACAAGCCATATCTTTATGAGAGTGTTGGACACATCAGAGATGTGTTTTATAGATGCAACCCTGCCCTTGATTTGGTTTGCTGGATGCCTCTGGCAGCACTCAGCGTGCACCATTTCCTACAGATGAACCCATATGAAGTTTGTGGTCATCTGGTGTATTTCTCATTCCTATTTCATGCGACACATACATTTCACATTTTATGAAATTCCATCTGCCATGCATTCCCTGCACCGCTCAGCTTTAATAAAATACATCACCAACCCTTTGTATTTCTTCACTCCTTTAATTTCTGCAGTAGATATCCAGCAGCTGGTCTGGAGAGGAGGAGGAAACACCTGCTTACACAGGGGAGGTGGAGAAAGGAAATCTATGAAAACCTCAGACTGAGGCGGTGTCTCAATACCTACAGAGCTGCCTACCCTAGACATGCAGCAACTTCAACATCCAGTGACGTGGCTAATTAGACAGCGATTTTAGACGTGTGCTGTTTTTGGATGATCCCCCACAATTCAGCAGACTCAGAATATCATCCTAAAGCCCGAAAATGCTACACACAAATGTGATGCCTAAAAATGAGCTTTAGGTAGGCATTTCATATGCAAATTTCAAAAGACTCTAAATGATCAACATGATCAAAACTTTGCCGAAAAACCTGTTGCACACAATGCCTTCTGTGGTCTGACTGATTGTTTTTAGCAAGTAAAAGGCCTTTTAGTATAAAATGTCCACCTTCAGCTCGTGCTTCATGTGTTTTTTGCTGTCAAATCTTTACTGATTTTTAGAAAGTAAATGTAATAACTTTTAAATTGTTAGCAATATATATATATTTTTTTTGTTTGTTTTGAGAAAAATCATGTTAAGATGTGACTATCAAATATGATCATCAGGCTTTTAAGGAACATTTATTTCTTCATCTCAATCATCATTGTATTGCATTGCATTTCATGTAAAATATAGCATAAAACTAAGCATTTAACCCCCTTAGCAAGACATCATAGAGAGATATAAATGGACAACTGATATTTATATAATTTTATGTATGTAGTCTGCTATATTGTTATAAAGATCTCATTAATTTACATTACAAATGATCAGAATTTCATCTTACTTTTTGTCCACATAAATACAGTATGAGCTCATGTTGGGTCACTGAATAAACTTTCCTCTTTGATCCATACTCTCACAGTACACTATACTAGCTCTAAAACCCTGATGTTTAAAGGCTTTACAGGGTTATTGTCAGATAAAATGCTGCGAACTCAGAAAGTGCCCAAAGTTGTGCATGCCTCTAACGCTCAATTATGTCGACTGTTTTGAATGTTAAGATAACCCCAAACTGTTGCAGCCACCTGCCATCCCCAAAAATATTACACAAACCAAGGCAGGCATCTCACTGTTACAGGTTACATACAGCACGCAACTGATACGCAAGATGATGGCTAGGTACGCAGTTCACTACATTACAAGTTGCTGCAGGCGCATGTGACACCCAAACCCGTAAGCGGCCAGAAATGCAGTCTAGGGAGGCAGGCAGCTCCTCAGATTTTGAGACGCAGCCCGAAACTCCTCTAGAGACTCGCAGCGGTGCGCGGTGAGAGAGAGCGCATTAAAACACAGACACACAGCCAGGAGAACTTTGCGCACGGCGTGGCTTTGGTATTTTGTCAGTGATTGCCGCTTGAGTGTTATTTTACGCACACGCAGACTTCAGACTCACTTGTGGTCTGAACGACAGACAGACACAGACAGCAGCATCAGAAGCTCTGCGTTGACATGCTGAAGGTGAAGCAGCAGGGATGTCATCCAGGCGTGGCTCGGGGAGGATATGGATGTCTATATAAATGACGGATGAAAAGAGCGTCTCTCTCCGCTCCGCTCTCTGAACACCCAAAGTTAGCTCGCCATGGCAGAGGTGGCTGGATTCCTCGGGAGCATCGATCTGGATTTGCAGGCTTTTCCAGCATTAGGGAATGTGCCTCTGGCGGATGGTTTGAATGAGAGATTGGGTCTGATTGAGGGCAGACTGCAGCGCGGGTCGCTCACGGATTTTGGCCACCTGAAGGGCATCCTGCGCAGGAGACAGCTCTACTGCCGCACCGGCTTCCAGCTGGAGATATTTCCTAACGGGACGGTGCACGGAACCAGACAGGACCACAGCAGATTCGGTGAGAGCTCTATCCACCCTTTCATTCATTCGTCAATGCAGCCATCCGTCATCCAGCAGTTTTGGGCATCACTGACGCGTTAGCGCACCTGGTCATTCTGTGAAACGGCTGACTTTTTTGTTTTTGGTGATTTTTAGGGACAGTCCTTTAAACGTGATGTCAGACAAATTGTCTTCAGATATTTATAAACTGCATTGTGCCATCTCAAGATAACTTAATATACTTTCAAATGTGTTTACAATGGGATATCTTAACGCCATCATAAAAGTAACAAGGATAGGAAAGTTTAAATTTAACTTGAGGACTCAAGGTCAGGACACTTCAAGTTGTTTACTGGACAAAACTATAATGCTGATATTGACTCACACGTTTATTTAACTATCTAAATGGGGACATTGCATAGTCTTATATTGTTTTTTGTATATACTACTTGCTATAGATACTAACCTACCTATTTACTTTATTCTCAAACCGTTTTTTACAAATGATGTCCCCAAAAGGAGGTTTTGTCAGGTTTAGCTCTGGGTACAAATTTGTTCCCAAAATATGGTTATGTATACACACAGCATGTATATATACACACAAATATATACAATGCACCTGTTTATAGCGCCCAAAATGCAGATTCAAGGAGTGCAGCATCAGCCAATCAATCAGTTTGCTGTGAGTCGGTGTGCATGCATGTGACATGCTGATGAGCTTTGATCACTTAGAAAACTCCTGAGAAATCTGTAATAGGCCTACGCAACTGTCTGCTTCTTCACTATAAATCATTTGCCAGATCCAGTTGTCATGAGTTCTCTTTCATTTTGCAATTGCATGCACAAGACATAACTTGTATGCATAACTTGGGCAGAATTCAGGGGTGTAGATCTAAGCTTCGATTTCAAGTGAAGCAGATATGGATTTAGGGGGTGCAAGAAGCAGGAACCTTTCTTTAAAATTTTAAGTATGCTTCTGGGGTCGTGCCTCCCGTGTCTTAAGGAATCTACACATCATATACAGGCGTCTCAAATACTTGCACGCTTTTTGCATTTCATAAAATAATTGACAGTAAAGAAATATAGCACAATAACCCTTTTAACACAAATCATTAAAAGATGAAAAAGGAAAGGTTTGTTAGATTTGAAATATGAAACAATATAGTGTTAAATAAATAAATAAACACAACAGTTCTGGTTGTGAATCTCTAAAAATCACCATAACACCAACGGACTAAAATCACAGCTCAGGAATGTTAGTTTGCTCTAGGAGCATTTGAGCACAGAAGACACTTGCTTCTATATTCTGTTATTCAATGCAAGAGTGATTTACTTTTTGGTACCACTGTATATCAATCCACCCATTAGGCAAGAGCTGCATATCTTCGAGTCTTACACTCGCGAACTCCAGTGCAGGGTCAAGGGATGCAGGTGCTTCTCTGCAGTGGAAAACAAGCTCACAGCATGAGGCTGTTTTTCTCTGAAAACATGTTCAAAGGACCCCGGCCGACGCAGGCACAGACACTACTAATTACAGCGCTAATAAATCAGTCAAGGAGTGCTTGGTATTACAATGATAAACAAATGATAGCAGAGCCCAGACATGAGGATTTTTTTTGCATTGCTCTGATCCATAATCATTGTGCAGGTGCAGCCTTCGCTCAGAAAACAGGAATAGCTCTAAATTAAAGCATGACCACTGTGGAATCCAGTGGTAATGCTTGATTTTAGGCCGAGACAAGCTGCTTTACTGGATTGGGTGGTCCGCGGTCATGTTTCTGGCATCCTTCTGGCAAATGCGAGCCATTTGTCGGTAATGTTGCAAGCTGGCAGTGTCTTTGATTAAACGCATATGAAATGTGCTTCTGCTTAACCCAGCTTCAGAGCGTTTTCGGTGTCGTCGTTTGGCATCCAAATCACAACATACTCGGTCCAGGTGGTGGTAAAAGGCCACAAAGGTGTAGTTTTTGCTTTAGTCTTTAATCAAGAGCGTGCGAGCAGCTGGTTTTGGCCAAGATTGGGCTCGTATCCTGAAAACTGCCACGAATGCACAGTGATGCAGACACCTTAACAGAATATTGATTTGTATTTAAAAAATGCATTTAAATAAAAATAAAAAAAAAAAGTACAAGAGTAGCAACAAGAGGCTTAACCAAACATTTTAGAGATTATTGACTTGTTGCGCACGCAGTCTTATAATTAAAGTAGTGGTAGTAACAAGACCTCAATTTCCTGTGCTTTTAGGTTATTTATAGGTTGCAGCACATTTTTAAAAGCTAGTCTGCTGAAAGCTTACTTGTAAGGGCACAGGTGAGAAAATTCTTTCAAATGCTAAACTCACAAAGTAAACGCCTTGCATAGGACAAAGACAACAGAATGCATGTATGATGGCCACTGTCAAAGATTTCCATTTTAAGAAATGACCTGGGTTTTGAGTAAGTTTAAACTTGCTTGGTGGAAAACAACAACAAAAACATAAACCAGCCAAAGGTGGTTTGGAAGCTGGCAGTCTGGCCAGGTTGGTTAGGCTGGTGCGATTTGATGGGTAAAGGGGGTTTGGGGTATTTGTCAGCTCGTCAGACTGAAAGACCAGCTGGCTAACACCAGCTTGGACGACCTGGAATACCAAGTAGATCTGCTTTAAAGTAGCTACATCCAGTGAACCACCTTAGGCTTGTTTAAGTCGTTTCTTTCAGCTGAGAAGGAAAACTTGACTACTGCATTGTTGTACAGCTGCGCTGCAGTTGTAAAGGTGTCTGGTCATTGTCTGACGAGTGCTGTTGTGTGGCAGGTATTCTGGAGTTTATCAGTCTGGCCGTCGGGCTGGTGAGCATACGAGGCGTGGATGCAGGTCTTTATCTGGGGATGAATGAGAAAGGTGAACTCTATGGGTCGGTAAGTCAAACCCCTGTAGTGCTCACACACACTCCAAACAACATCCAGCAACAGAAGGTTCTGCTCTATGAAGCGTTCCAGTGGGAATGCAGTCAGAGCTGGAATGAGGAGCAAATGACAACCCACCCACCGGCTCATAGTCTGCTCCCCATATGATGTAGATGTACAAAAAAGAAAGCGCTGAACCAGACAAAACAAGCAGTGTTTCCACTGCTTCGAGCCCTGACCTCTGATCGGCGAGGTCTGTGCGTGGCTCACCTTGTTTTTGTCTTTATAAATTTCCACACAAGAACAACCTCTCAGACAGAGCGCTCAATCTCAGAGAAGCAAAACTGCCTCTTCATTTCGCTCCATACTTAAAATATTTACATATTTTCCAGGGACACATGAAGCGTGTAACGTATACACACCCACATATCGTGGATATACGAGCTGAGTGCTCTTGGTTTCTTGCATATCTGTGTGCTGCGCGAGGACCACGCTTTTCTCCGTTGGAGTGCTAATTGTAACAGAGACCAGGAGATAAAAGCATGTAGCGGGATTGGCTTTTTGTATGCTAGCATAGAGAACCATATATAGGAAAATGCGCCTGGCCTCCCCCTCTGCAGACTTTGCCATGCTTGCAGGAGAAACAAGCTATCAGATTTCCAGAGACAATAAGCGGGGGCCCCAGTACGTTTCTGTGGATCCTGAGTTAAAGCAAACCCTATTTAAAGCAAGAAGAGATGACTTCAAATGCAATGCGATAACATCCCATTAAATCAGACTGTAAATGCAGGTCAGCATTGCAAATCACCTGAAGACTCAGTCCTGGGTTCACTGCGCAGATTTAAATGCAGGTCCATTTCTGTTGCATGAAGATCAAAAAAAAAACAAAGTCACCTTTACTGGTGGTTGGCATTAATACATTATGTAAATCGCGTGCATGGGGCAGTATTTATTCCAAACAGCACACTACCTTATTGAAAGAGCATTGAAACCATCAGTCATTTTACAGATCCTGGAGAGGTATTACAGTTGTTTTAAATGAATCGGTTTTCTGAAACTTTTAGTTGATAATCTTATTCTGTTTAAACGATTTAACAGAACTTTTAAAGCCGACTTTATCTTAAACACTAATTTTAAATGTATCATCTTGACACCAAGACTTGAACCTGGCCCATTGCATGACCGTTCTTTGGCAGGAAACATGATGTAGCCCCAGTGTCTTCAATTGTTCACAGCAGTGTAGTCAGCCAGTGAATGTTCACCTGCTTAACCCGAAGTCATCGCTCATGAGGTTCTGTCAGTGGTGTAGTAGTAGCAGCCCACACAGACTCTCTCAAGCTGCCGTGTTTGTGCGAGAGAGATTGTTGCATCATGGGGGAAGCAGGCAAAAAGGTTAACAGTTTTGAAGAATGATTTTGGGTGTAAACTGCAAAGCTTGCCCGTAATGACTTTCCCTTCTCTGGTGCAGCGAGCACCTGCTGTCTGGCCTCAAGATAGTTTCCACTCCACACATTTTGCGATGATGAGAAGGGTAAACTGTGCTCTGTGAGAAAGAAACAGTACCACGTCTTCACACCCTTATGCTGTCCAGCACATCTGGAGGTCTGGAAATGGGAGGCGCATGTTAGTTCTTAAACATGTGGTCAAATGCACTTAAGCTGCACTCTTGACGGACAGAGCATAGATTACTAGCTAGAGATCACACCGTAGGATTTTTGGTTGGGACATTTCCCACTTTGATTCACATCTTACATCTTGTCTTTAACAGTTTGTGTAGATCAGGGTGGCCAAATCCTGCTCCTGGAGGCCCACCTTCTTGCAGAGTTTAGACTAAACTTGCTCCAGCAAGTTTCTGGTAATCCTGAAGACCTTGATTAGTTGGTTCAGGTGTGTTTAATTGGGGTTGAAGCTAAACTCTGTAGGAAGATGGCCCTCCAGGAGCAGGACCTGACCCCCCTAGTGTACAAGAAGCTTATTTATCATGGTAGGACACAAGATCTTTCCAATAACTCTAACTGAGCATTATATTATAGTGCACATTTCGCTTCCAGATAATCAACAATGTTTTTGTCTCTTTCTGGCTGCCTTGCAGAAGAAGCTGACAGCAGAGTGTGTTTTCCGTGAGCAATTTGAGGAGAACTGGTACAACACGTATGCATCCACACTCCACAAGCATGCGGACACTGGAAGATACTATTACGTGGCCCTGAACAAGGACGGCTCGCCTCGAGAAGGAAGCAGGACTAAAAAGCATCAGAAGTTGACTCACTTCCTGCCCAGACCTGTCGAGATTGAGAAGATACCCCAAGCTTACAGAGACTTGTTCCAGCATAGGTGACCAGAGCATCTGTCAGAGTTGCTGTGTTGGAGAGGCGCAGTTGAGGTGCTGGATGGGAAAGACGGACGCTAAAGAACATTAAGAAATACAAGACCCTACTTCTCTCGCCTCGCAGCTGTTTATATTTGGGTTCTGGTCCAAAATGAGGAGGCCCTCTCCAGTGGTGATTGAGATAAACAGTACGTGTGTGTCCTGGATGGCTCCGTTTCCTCTCCTTAATGGGTTTTAAACCACAGAGAAGAGGGAACATTCCTGCATCCAAAGCTGGAGCCAAAAGATGTCTTGAGGAAGAGGTGTTGACTTCAGGGCCTCATGACGTGTGTCATGCAATCACCCTTTCTTCAGACACTTTTTGTAAACTGGACCACATTTTGGGCATGTTCTCACTGGAAAAAATAGGGTCTAAACCTAAATTTATTGAGTAACTTGTCACCTGAGCATAGGTGGTAGTAAAACTGCCTTTGACCATTGAGATAAGACTCAACATGCCCAGTCTGGTGACCCTGGGGCAAAACTTTAGTTGAAAGGTAATGATGCAGCACTTACCAAGAAGATGAACATGGGGAGTAATCGCTGACCTTCCTGTAGGACAAATGCAAAGCAAGAGCTTTTCAAATTAAATATACCTGTAAGGGCACTTAAAAGGAGAAAGATGCTTTGAAGAACTATGACCAGCTTCTACTGAATCAATACTAATTTTGAATGGAAATATTACCAATTGTGAGATGGAAAATAAGTAATAAGTAAAGAGGGGCTTACACAGATGATCTTCTGTATGTCTTCTGTCTGCTCCTTTTGAAGTTTCAGAAGAGTTCAAACCTTACAAATTTGGTAGAAAAAGCAAATCAGCAGTAGCAAAGTGATTAGTAGAAATGAATCACTTTCAAGCAGGGGAAATGAATGATGCTTGCTGAAGTGTTCGGTAGAGGCTTTGGTCATTTGACTAAGAGTGACTTCAGGTTGTCAGGAACATTATTAAAATGTAAGTGAAAGACATGTAAATATGGGCAAACCTATTTATAAGATGTACTATATATTTATTTTCTACATATAAAGAATAATTATAAATCTCTATATAAATATATTTATTTATTTCAAAGGCTCTATTTTGTAATGAACTTGAAGTTATTGGAATTGTAGATTCTACTGAGATTATTCAGAAGGGCTAAACCATTTGACCTGAATGACTGACAATAAAATTGTCCTGCTATTGTTTATTGTTGGTGACCATATTTGCAAGGATTCTCTGTACCAATTAAAATCTGAGAAACACTGAGCTGATTGAGTTTGACTGCACACACAACTTTTCAGGTACTGTCATGGACTGAATGGTCGTCTTTGCTAAACAACACAGAAACACAAAACGCTGAAAGCTGTGAGAGCACTAGCTATTTAAGTCAACATGATATGGCAGTCGCAAACCATTGTACTACTATCTATAAGCTACTGTATTTGCAAGTAAAACAGTATTCATATAACAGTAATGTGGCCCTTGTTCAGAGGCAGAGCAAGTTATTACGTGTTGATGATTGATTACAAAAACAAACATTTTCTTCTTTGGAATAGTCAAGTCAAAGAACGTAAAGTGAATTTTGACTTCATGTTGTCTTCAAAGTAGGACACATTTGATACCTCTTTCAGAAAATCTTCAGTAACGGGTCAATCAATCTATGAAATGTCGTTTATCTAGTACAGCGTAAATTCCAGAACATCACAGCAGCATTCACAGAATAATCAAGCTCTCCAGAGATGTGGATGTTAGCTGATGATGTAAAAAGACAGCTCTTGGCTTGGGGAACCTGTGGGAAAGTTCTCCCCAAGCAGTCTGTAGAGGCATAAATCAACGCCCTACAGAAAGAAACAATACAAGAGAACATGTTGCGCTAGTGGGTGTCAAACCTGTTGAAAAGTCTGCAGCATAGCAACATTAATTACCTCTATAATAGTGATAACATTCGTAGAACTATTATTAATAAGTTTTTTTGTGAATCGGATGCATTGTAAATCACATCAACACAAAACTCCCTTGGTGATTGAATGAAGATTTGGACCAGCACTGATGTTGCCCTGAACGGACTTCTATAGGGTTTCAGTCAACTTACATCATCAGAAACGAACAAAACAATTCAGATTTACAAACATTCACAACCCCACCCACCACCGATGCCTTGTCAACATGCTTGGCTCGTTCCTGCTCGGATGATCAATAGTTAGCTTTGCAGCCAGCACGCTCGAATACTGTCAGATACGAAGTATATAGTGCATGTTCATGTGAACGGAAGCAGGTTTTAACATTGGAGAATAGATGGGGCAACAGCTGCCCGGTGCTGCAAAGCTAGCCGAGTGGTAATCTGGGCATACCAAGGATGGGATCAACATTTCAACATCTGCAATAGTTGTAATGTTTCACTTTTGGCAGCTTTCTGCAAGCTGTGAACGCAAGCTCCCCCCTGGGGGGGGGGAGATGTGGGCTTGAGGGGGCGAATGGAAAAGAGGGGGAGAAACACCCTGGCAGCTAAAGAAATGAAAATAATAGCAAGCAGCAGAAACGACACAGCAGATGAAAGACTGAAGGGGAAGAATGGGGTGTATGGGAGGAGACAGATTCTCAGGGTGTAAAAGCTAAGAGCTGTCTAGAGAAAACGCATCTGAAATTTGGTATTGGTGTCATGGATCTCATATATACGCTCTCATTCATTTATTTAAACTTACCGAAAATGAGTAACTGTTTAAGTAGTCACTAATACACCAACTCCACAACTTCCTAGTATCGGCTAAAATCAGGGGCACAAGTCTCTCTTGTCTTATGGTGACCTCATCTGACTGTCCACTGCACTGCTGCATCATGGGAAGGGAGTGGCACATTTTAACATGCATAAGAAACAACTAGCCAGTATGCATCTGTCCCAAAAGTAGTAAGTAAAACCACCGTCTAGAGTTCAAGGTTGCCAACATATAGTTAGGTACTGTATGTGTGTAAAGTTTCGATTACTCAAACAATATATGCCTTCTGACTCGTAAGTCAATTTCATACGAGTTCACATATAGCATGCAAACTTGAAGTATCACCCAAGAACCCGATTTATTTAAGAACCCATGACAGTTGCTACTATAAGCAATGCATCTTCACAGAACTTCTAGACAACTCTAGGGAATTCTAGACAATTCTCAAAATTGATGAAACTGAAGGTAATGTAACAAATATACGCGTTCATATAAAAGTTAAAAATGTTAAAGTATTTAAGAATACTGAACTATGGTTCAGTGTATACATTTGCAGGTGCAAAGGGCAATTTCTTCTTGACAAAATATCTTAAAATTAAGCATAAATAGAATAATTTATATTCAACCTTTAAAAAAAAAAAAAAATCATTAAAATGTCAAAGAATTTGTTAATTCCCGTTGTTTTTGAGCATTTTGCAAATGGATTTGTACATATAATATTTGCCAGTAGTTCTGCAGAAATTGCACAACTGACAACAAACAAGACCTGCATGTAACTCATCCTTTTGGTCACTTTATTTAAATGTGATATTAAATACTAAGTAGCAGATCATATTAATGGCAGACGTTGTTGGTGTATATGCTTACATTAGAACCTTTTCAGGAGGGGAAAAGCTTCCTCTACATTTCTGAATGACACCCTGTGGATGTCAAAGGTCTTATGTTCGCCAATGAAAAACATCTAGTTTAGCATCCGAAGTGGAGATGTGCCCAAGAACAGAATACAGCCTGAGCACTAACCTGATAAGGAAAGTGTTAGCATTATTATATAATCAGAACAGGTTTGAAGTTCAGTTAAACCACACAAACATGCATTTAGCTCCCGCCACACGCCAACTCAGGTGCAATCCCAATGCAAGTGGGGAAAAGAAACAGAAAAATAAACAGAAAAAGAAATTATGAACAGTACTCACAACAATATGCTAGGCAACACTACAACGAGAAGTCTGATGTTACAAAAGTCCGGAGGAAATCAGCAAGCAGTTTTAACAACACAGACATTCCATAGCATGATTAGCAACAACGAGTTTAAATACCTAAAAGCAGATTAGAAAAAGGGGTTTTAAAACATTAGAAGAGATCTAGCTGCTTGATATAAGGCCATTTGACTTGACGATACATTTAAGGTGTCCGCTGCAGTGTCTCTGGAGCACTGGCTAGCAAAGTACCAATGACAATCCACTACTAGGAAGATATTAGCGCAGATAGTATTTACGGGGGCTTTAGAACAAAAACGCTATGGTCCCTCCTCAATCACGCCGTTTTCATTGCAATATAATTATTTATATATGCACGTCCCTTATTTAAGGGGAAAGAAACCTGCAATGCCTAAAAGCATTTGGGGATAATATCTTCTTCAATCTTAAATACGTGAGAGAGGGAAAAAAAGAACTTGACCAACATTAAGGCTATATACACACAAAATGACAAACTGCACTGCCAAAAACCCCTTTAACAAAGTCCCAGGATCCCCTCTCGTTACCGAGGAGCTCAAGTAGGTGTCCTGGCTGTATCAGTCCAGCTGTGTGTACACTGAGGGGCGGAGGCATCTACAGGCCCTTAGACGGGCCCGGGTTCTTGCCCAGCTGTGCGGAGGGAAGGCCCTGGAGAGCCCCAAGCTGCTGGTACAACCCCAGCAGATCCATCTGATTCATAGGGGCCCCAAGACCGTTCTGCATGGCCAGCTGATTGAGCAGCAGACCCTGCCTCGCCATGGCCAGCTGCTGCTCCTGCACCTTACGGTTGGCGATCACCTTCTGCACGTACATCATCAGCTGGGAAGGAAATGGAGATCGGATGTTATTCGTCCGTTATGTGGCTTCAGAAAGTAGTCTCTGCTGCCCCTCTCCAACAGAACCGGTGCTTTTGAGCTGAACCGTGACTGTGTTACTACATTACCCATCCACAAAGCACAACATTCTTGATTACATTTGAGTACATATTTTGACATCCAATATCTTTATGAAATCACAAGCCTAAAATCAAATTTGGATGAAGTCACAAATTACTTAAATAATAACCATAACAAAAAATGATAGCGCAAACAAATTAGAGTTCGACGGACATTGAATTTTGCTGATGATTTAAAAACCCAATACAAAGATTTTACTGCCATTACTAGTATATTGAATATAATATTGTATTTTTAAATGCCAGTTGCAATTTATTGTATTATTGTAAAATATGCACTCTTACAACCATCTACAACATATTACAATATAAACTCCATGAAGCAAACATGTCATAATTCATCAGCAGTAGATCATAAGCAATCGTTTGGCATACATGCACAGTTTCCATTGATTGTGAACTGCTCTGAAACGGAGTCTGTAGAATGTGAAACAGTGCTGCATTTTTACATTGAAACATGCAGCACTCACATTTATCAGCCTTTTCAAGTTTAATAACAACATTAGGCCTTATTGCAACTCCTGTTTTTCTGTCCCTAAATTTAAGACCTCTTAAAATGATGAAAGTACAGTGTTCATTTTTTTCACTGACGACAACGAGACGATAACGAACTAAAATTATTTTTGAATGACAAAAACTATGACGTAAATCTATTGACATTTGTGTCAACGAATAAAAACGAGACGAAAATGTTAGGGAGGGACGATTTGGGAAGAGATTCATTCAGAACGAATCTGCTGCGTGGTTCGGAGGTTGCGTACATATGAACCGGCAGGACATAAGCTAACATACACTTGCTGCACGTCGCATAAAATGTTAAAAAATGTAAATATGGGGGAGTAAGAGAAGAGCAGACATATGGATAAATCTGACGATGCAAGAGAGAACTCAATTCGGTCCGGTTTTCTGAGCGCAGACACTGAAGCACACACACACAGAAAGCGCCTCTCACTCTTAAGCGTCGCATGAACGGAGAAATACAAACAAAATTATGTTGAATTGTCCATTTTGACGAGTATTCACGTAAACACAGTTGATTACGTCTTAAGTGAACGTAAACAGTAGGGAGAACGTGTACCGGTACATTGCATCCATTGCAGCTGTGCATCAGGTTTTAAAGGGACAGCAGCCTAATTTAGTTGCTATTGTCCGAATCATTGATGTTAATCAAGCAACAAAAGACAGAACATCACTCTTCAATCGTTCTTGACTGAAAAACTTTAGTAGCCCTAAATATTAATCTAAATTTATTTATAGAAATAAATATGTCTGCTTGAAAGAATGAAGAATATGGCAAACAAGTTGATATTAAGAATGCATAATTAGCCTATATAACCATTGGTATTTCATTAATAAGAAGACCATGTTCTTGTTCTTTATGAGGAAGTGGTTTTATTTAATTTTAACATAAAGGCATGTTGTGTGTCACCGCAGTTAAATCTATATAATGAGTTTGGAAATTTTAGAGAAATGCTTAATAAATTCACTGTAACTAAACCCATTAGATTTTAGCAGACTTAATTTACTGTAGGTTTAGTCGACTAAAATCTTATGATATTTAGTCGATTTAGTCAAAAGACTACGACTAAAACAATCAAAATTTGCTGTCAAAATTAACACTGGATAATTAAGATTTGTTATACCATTTAAGATATTTATAGCCTTAAATTTGACCCTGAATTAATTCACACATCACATTTAACTATTTTTGACAAATGTAGAATAAAAGGGGTGCAACAGGGTACCAGATGTAAAAATCCCTTTCAATCTATTTAGTTTAAAATCACTTAAACACAGGTAGAACATAAGACATCACAGAAATACTGAGAGATGAGCAAACATACAGTTTGTTGCTTGCCGAGGACATCACGGTAAACAGCCTCCCTGTGTTTGATTTCCAGCTCGTAGCCGGCCTGCCTCCCAAGAGCCATGGATTGAACCTGGGCCTCGGGTAAACTCGGATTCTCCTTCCACTGCCAAAAACAACACACCTGTTACATCCTGTAGACCTCAACAAACAAACACTTACACGATCATCACACACACACAAACACATTTAGCAGTTGTTCAGAACGTAGTCCAACATCTCAAGCTTAATACTGATGACACAGCAAACTATAGGCAAAAGTGTAGGCTTTGCCCCTAAAAGCTCGCGCCATGAGACTAGGATATAGTGGCTCGTTGTAGGGCTGCACGATTATGACAAAAATCACAATTGTCGATTATTCCTTTGAAATTGTAATTGCAATTATTAATTACGATTAAATGAATGATGTTTACACCTTTGTTTGAAGCAACTGCATGCCATATTTTTATATGAAAATAAACAAGCTGAAAACACTAACTGAAAAACATTTATTGCTTTTCTATAGTATTAAGCCTCAAATGTCAACTATACATCGGATTGGTTTCTTCTTTAAATAAAAAGGTAAAAATATGAATGGTATTATAATGTTATACTAAAACTAAAATTAAAACAATGGAAAAACCCTTAAGATAACGTAGAAAGAAAAAAAAACATCTTAAGCATGCAGAATAACATAAGTGGACTTTAAATGATTAATTGCTGCTTTGAACGATTATGTTAAGCATGCAGAATAACATAAGTGGACTTTAAATGATTAATTGGCGGCTTGAACGATTATGTAATTGTGGCATCCGTAATTGTAATTGCGATTAGAAATTAGATTAATTGTGCAGCCCTAGCTCGTTGTTATGCAGGTGTTGTAAGTGGTTGTAAAGTCAACAGAGCCCATCTCTCCAAGTCTCTATAATGTTCTGTCCTCCAAATATGACTCAGGCTCATCCTTCAATGTAGGTCTCTAGATTTTTTGGTCATTTCATCACCCATCCAAAGTTTCACGCATGTCTGTAGCACAAAGCTATGCATCAAAGGTTTGATTGGGGTAAGTACTAACAACTTGGCAAACACCAACTGCAGAGCGAATTTTCAGTCTTGTCAGGGAAGGTGGGCTGTGCATCAGTTACTGGTCATGACGGCTCATAGATGCAACACTGGACCTGGAGCATTAAGGCCCTGATATACTTCAAAATCTAAAAAACAAACTAGTGTGATGTCATTTTGAACAAAATCAGGCCAAACCGAAGTTCATTTGGAGTTTCCGGAAGTGTTCGCTCCAGCTGTTAAACCCCTTCTTTTTACCACTGGTCCATGGCAAATACGCATTCACAGGTAGATGTGGCCTTCTTTGACTGGGAAAACATCTGCGTTTCATTTATTCTGTTCAGTCCGGCGAGGTCAGACATGAACACACTGGAGAACTGCTTTATAGCATTAACTCGAACTGTAACTCTAACTGAAAGCAACACTGGTGCTTTTTTCTCATGTTTAATACTGTAAAGCTGCTTGCTTTAAAGCAACCTATTGCATAAAGTGCTATATAAATAAACATGACATGACCTGACTGGAGTGCTGCATTGCAGAGCTGTGCAAACATGTCCACATTGCTACGATTTATTTTGTTACAGCGAGGAAAGCACACAACACATTTACGTATGTATCTCAACCTGGTGGTTTCGGGATGTTCACTAACAGTAAATTGGCATTTCAAACTTCTTTTTACCCCTAGGCGAAGAACGAAAAACAACTGTGCTTGAGTATATCGGGGCCTTTATGCACAGCCTTTCCGACGAAAGCCTCTCTGTAGGGAATCTCCCTCTCTCCCGTCACTCACCACCTGTGCAATGATGTCCTCCATTGGTTCCCTGGGCACTGACTTCAGAGCGTTAGCGGCTTCCATCACTTTCTGCCTGCCCTGGTAAATCAAATCCTTGGAACACAGAGAGAAAGAATAAAGTGTGAGAAGCAACACTGAAAATACTAGACGAGATGAAACAAACCTCTGAATTTGATATTTTCACAGAAATAACTAGCATTCGTAAACAGCAGCTGGCAGAGCACAAGCCAAATGTCAGTGCTTGAGGACGCATGTCACAATTAGCTGCCGGCTGAAGGAATGTGAAAAGAGCACGTGGAGCTCATTACTTACCTCCAACTGTTGGTTGCTCATGGAGGCCAAGGCAGCCATGTTGAAGGGCAAGTAAGAGTTTGCTCCTGCTCCCACGGCCATTTGAGAATAGGATGGCTGGTTGAAATGCATGGACAGACCCTGAAACAATAGAAGAGAGGGTCCATCAGTCGAAAACAAACAGAGAAGCTTCATTTTATGAGATGAGGTCACAGAAAAATCACAATTATAAATAATCTTCAAATCAGGTTCGGCCTGACAGATGAGTCAGCCTTCCATCACACTAGCACTTGCTGCAGGGTAATCAAAGCATTGCTTTTTGGACTTAATTCCCCACTCGATTTGCGACTTTGACATGATTTGTCTGCGAACTGGCAAAGACGCACGGCGAATGATAATTCCCAGCCAACAGATCGCTGGAGGATCCAAAAAAATCCTGATGTGCACCCATGTGAACCTCTGTTAGGGTCCTGCCCAAGCTGTGTTTGTCTTACGGCTCTAAACAGAACGTTCCCCTGCAGAAGGTCAGCAGGATGGCTGTGTTTGTGTGTAAATGAGCTACCGAGGCAGATGCAGTCAATCCCCTAATTGGGTCTTTGGTGCACGCAGCTCGTAAACACACTCCACAGCTGAGTGTCCGGTGTTCAGACCTGGCACGAGCAGGTGTGCAGCACAGATGGCGGCGTGGATCACAGCTGTGCCGCAGACCCCGGGACAATCTAAACGGACGCTCTTTTAAGCTGGTTTCAAAATGTGATGCTCACAGTATAGCTTCAACTATCTCAGAACTCGATAGGGTTCTCTAATCACTGCAAGTGACTGCTTAAAATCCACTTTAATGGCTCTGGCAGAGTTAATGATTTTAAGCAATCACATTACACAAAACTCTTCAATCTCAGCATACACAAATAATTGTAGCGAGATGATCAAAAGCAGGTGATTTCTTTTCGTCGCATATAATAGCTATGGCCAAGTGATTCACTGATGAAATTACTTTGATTTAAGCATAATATTTAAAACGTCTTGCCAAAAAATAACATGAAATTTAGGAGGCAGATTACATGTAGTGCAGAATCTGTGCCAATGTGGTATGAATTACACACACGCACACAAATCCAAAGACAGTCTGCACTGTCTCAATGCTCCCAGCAGGTATAACCAACTCCTGCCTACAAATACAGCTCCTGCATTGGGCACTAAAGTTATAGTGATATTTTCCATGCTCCATGTGGTGCAACACGAGCAATGTTCACTTATTTCAGTTATTTTTACTGATGACGTATTCAAGGAAAGGAGTCTGTGCTTTCTATAATTGTAGGTCTATTTGCAGATGGACATGCTTTGCAATTACATTGCTTCTCACTTTTTTCAGCAGAAGTTGAAAGCTTTTTTCAGTTTGAAGTAATTCAACCCCATTATAACGATTTATCTTTGAAGTAGCATTTAGTTGACTACAGAATTGTTTTGAAGGGAATCAGGGTAGATATTGTTGTGATTGCAAAAGGAATAATTAGTGAATCGGAATGGAGAGAAGGCACTTGTAATATAATTCAAGTGCAGAGCCAGAGTCCCACATGGCAACAAGTGACTTCTCTCCCAAAAATACTCCACTAATGAGCCCTGAGGGTGAAGAGTCTCTAATCTGAAGACAATGAGGATTGGATCTAAAAGGACACAGGCTCTCAGCCACCATCTGCACACAGGGTTCACTGCGTTTATGAAAGGGATGATTCGACTGTCTGAACAATGAGACATTTCAGAAAAGGTGTGCTTCTATGGGTCTAAGCAGAACAATTACCGCCCAAAGAACCCTCTTCCAGCAACAAACCTTTTTGTTAGTTCCCACTGGTTTTATGTAGCTCCGAATAAAGCTTTATGTTTCAAGGAATTTTATGTAAGCACACATGCATACAGTTCGACCTCTCTCATGGTGTTTCTTAAAGTGTGGGTTAATTTCTTATGATGCTAATACACCACAATATTATTTGTGAGGTGCGGTCCATCACTGAAGAAATAATCATCAACCTCACCAAGATTCTTAAACAGCTATCAGTAATGGCCAGATACAAACAGACAATTTCTTTTTTAATGAAAGATTAAAAAACACACACCTGAAATATGGCTAAAATCTAACATTATATTTACAGACTGATATAAAGGTATTAGACAATATTCTTTTTATCATTACATGTATATAATAGTAAAGGGCTTGTGTGGCTACACACCTTCTTTTCGGCTTCATATTCGGCCCAGGCTGCCTTGCGATCTTCCTCACTCAGTGCCTCTTCCTCCTTGTGGTCCAGCAAAGAGTCATGCTCGTGGTAGCCGACGATATGATCTTTGTAACTGTGAAGGAGTTCTGCCAGGAAAGGATCCTGGGACAGGAGAAAGGGTCAAAGAAAGATGGGTCAGCATCCCACATGAATACATACTAGTGCTGGGCGGTATGACCAAAAATTCATATCATAACAAAAATAAAAACCGGTATTCGGTATGAACCGGTATACCGCCCAGCACTAATACATACACAGATGTAATCCTCTAATAATCACCACTAGCAACATAATTATAGAGCAAAACCAACAATGAAACATTTTTGTGGCCTATCAAA